GGCTCATAGCAGGTGTCAGGGCCAAACCCCATGTTCACAGATTCCCAGGAGATCTAAGAGATAAGGGTGACGTCTGTGACAGCATTAAGCTATCTGGTGGCGAAGGAGTCACCTCCCTCTCTTCTTCTGCCTATGTTCCTTTCCTGCAGGCTGCCAGGGGACGGGGCTCAGGAGTGTGACAGAGAAAGAAAGCCAGGCAGTGTCTGTCCTGGGAGGGGCTCGCACACGGCAGAAGTTTGCAGGCATTTGAGGACAGGGTCCACATGGAGCTGACCTCATTAGGTACGGGGTTCCGGCTGCTGTCTCCACATCAGGAAAGCCCCTTATTGTATCTGTCACCGTGACATGGCTTGCGGCCACAGGGGTGTCAGCTCTCGAAGGGTAAGACCTGAGTCTGTTCTCGGTGATGCCTTAATCCTTGCACAGGCCCTGGCATCAGAAGGCATCCAACGAATATTTAGGGGTACCTTCAGTTATTCATGAAGTCTGAATTCCCTGGAAGGCCACTCCCAGCTAGGCAGAGTACACACTGGACAGGGCCACCCCCAACACCATCTACCAGACCACAGTGGAGGCTTCCCTGGTGTGATTGGGTCTTTCTTGTTCCCAATGTGGCCTACTAGGAAACTTGGTGTGTAGGGAAGGGTGCCCTTCCACGAGCCCCTAGAGAGAGGACCCCCCACCTCAGGTGGCAGAAGGAGAGCAAGATGACCCCCTCCCCCACTCCACTCAGCCTAGGACCTGTTCTGGGGGCAAAGGGGGAAGTCAAGGATCATTCCCTGTAAACAAGAAAAACTGGAATTCGCACTGAACTCAGAGAGGGTTTGCTGGGGCCTGCAAGCCATGGCCTGCCCCAGCCTCTAGGCAGGCGGTGGGGCTCTGCCTCCCTAGTTCCCAGGCTGATGGGGCAGGCCACCGCCTCCTCACAGGGCTTGTGGCCTCTCCTCTGCCAAGGGCAGCCATGGGTGAGGAGGCAATGAGGCACAGGACAGAGGGCGGGCAGAGGGGGAAGGGGTTGGCGGAATGAGTTGCCAGCAAAGGCTGGTAACACTAAAGTTTGCAGAATTTGAAAGTCCTTGGCATTTCTCACTAGTATATACTGTGAGCTGTTCAGCCAGTACGGTCCAGATGAAGAGCCCAGCAGCCTCGAGGCTCAGGCAGGGATGGCAAGGAAAGCTACCCTTTTCTTACTGGGCTGTTCTTGCAGCCCACGGGATGCCTGTACCTCACGGGGGCAATTGTAGCAGTGCGCATGTGATCGTCAGAAGCCTTTCTAATGTTTGGTCCAGGATGGAGAAAGTGGGGTTGGTGAAGCCTTGACAGGTGATCGATGGGATGTGGCCCTTTCCTAGATAGCCTGAGGCAAGGCAGGTCCGAAGGGGTGCTAGCCTGCAAGCTGCCCTGGACACCACTGGAGTCTGGAAAGCAGGGAGGGATGAAGAGTCCTGTTTCCCAAGGCCCCTGGAAGGCTGGGCAGAGGTAGGTATGGACCCTTGTTCTTTAGAGAGGAGCTGAGTGATTTGGGAATGTGGCCAAAGGGTCCCTACGCTGAGAACTTCTGGGTGGGCTTGCCCCTCAGGCAGAGCGGTTCTCTTCTGGGTCCCTCTTATTCTGGGATGCAAAGAGAGACCATGATCCTAAGACAACACTACCCCTCCACCCTGAATTACAAGGGGACGCAGTCTTCCGACTCTGGCCATTCTCCGTTTAGACTGCTATGTGGCTTCCTTGGGGGAATCTCACCCCCAACACACATAACCAAGGGAAAGAGAGACTCAAGAGGTGCAAAGTTAAGACCTCAGACACACAAAAAAATGCTGTTTCAAATGGAACCCAGCCCAGAACAAACCTTACAAGTGACTCCTTTCTGGTTTTAAAAAGACACCAAAATTGAGTTTGATATGTTTATATTATAGATATAATACATATGACATCTAGCATGAAACTTTGTGTCCCCCCCCTCCCAAAAGAGAAGGTAGCAGTCCACCCTGCTCCCAGCCACAGGGGTGTGCAGGAATTGGCTGGAGGTGGCCTTCTTTCCAGACCCAGAGCCAGGGCCTTTGGGGATGGGGGTGGGCGGGGGAGGCAGCCTGTAGGGAGTCTCAGCTGGAGGAAGCTAAGACCCACAATGACACCCTTGGAAAACTGGGGGAAAGGGGGAAGCCTACTTCATTTCATTGGTCCTCCAGGAGCAAAAGAAAAAACAAAAAAACAAAAAACCAACCCAAATCCCCAAACCAAAAGGAAAGAGCCTCAGCTTCTTCCTTCAGCCTCTAGCGAAGAGTCTCATTTTGGCAAGAATCTGAGCAAAACCAAAACAAAACAAAGGACCAAATAAAATGGTGGTTTAGCATAGACGTGCACACTGACATTGCACAAGGCACCTCTGGGACACAGAGACCAGATACAAGTGTTGATATCGGATGATAAAGCAAAATATTTGGGAAGCTTGTCATAACTCCAGTCCCTCTGGGATGGATCGACTGTGCTTCACGCTCCTTCGGCAACAGCGGCTGGCGACGACATACAGTACACACAAGGCTGATGGTCCCGGTGTCCTTGCCTCCCCCGCTCCCAAGACCAGAAACCTAGGTTTCCGTCCCCCACCACTCCCTTAACCACATGGCTAACTTACAACCCAGCTTTCTGCTCTGACTGGGGGTGGTGCTGCCCCCCCCCCGCCCCCATTCTCCATGAACTCACCCAGGAAACTTAGCCTGTTGCAAGCTGAGGTGGGGAGTGAACGTGGACAAGCAAGGAACTAGGAACCCTCCACCTCCAAGTAACTGAGGTGTGTGGGGGGCACTCTTAGAATCAAATCTCCAACTCCCTAAGTCCCTCCCCTCTAAGGTCAGCGACTGAGGGGCAGCCGCGGAGCACTGCCGGGATCTCAGCTTCCTGAATCTTCCTCCTGCCCTGGGCCTGCACCCTTCATTCTCTCATGGGGGCCTGCTGCAGCCTCAGAGGAGGCAGGAATCCTCCAAATAAAATATCAAGGCACATGTTTGCTCCCCCTACTCGGTAGGAAAAGGAGCGAGTTTTGAGTATCCAAGGCACAGGGTTACTTCCTTAATACTAGAATGGACGGGCTCCCAGCTCAGCTCCGCGGAAAAGTCTCCCGGTTTCAAGGAGAAAATCGCGGCCTGACTCCCTCATCTTAGACGCACCACCGAGTCCGGCTCAGAGGAAGGGAGGGGACACGCGGAGTAGGCCAAGCTTTCAGACGACACCGGAATCTCCTAGTCCTGGCTTTCACGGCTGGGGCAGCCTAGAGATCCAGCGACCCGAAATCATTCTCCAGGTCCCCGGCCAGGGGGCCGGCCCAAGGCGGTCCCGCAGCCCCGCGCCTCACGCGCAGTTGCCCATGGCCTTGACCAAGGAGCTCTCCGGCAGCTGGCGGAAGATGCCCCGCAGCGTGTCCAGTTCACGGCTCAGCTGTTCCACCCGCTTGCGCAGGCGGTCATTGTCACTGGTCAGCTCCAGCACCTTCTGCTGCGTCTCCACGTTGCGCTGCTTGGCTTTATCTCGACTCTTGCGCACCGCGATGTTGTTGCGTTCCCGCCGCACCCGGTACTCGTTGCTGTTCTTGTCCACCGACTTCTTGGCCTTGCCGGCTCCGGCACCGCCGCCGCCGCCGCCCGTGCGGAGGTCGGGGTGCGTGCCAGCCAACCCCTTGAGCGCGCCCCCCGGACCCGGCAGGCCCGCAGCACCCAACGCGGGCGCGGGGTGCGGGCTGGGCACGGGCGTGGGCGGCGGCGTGGGGTGGCCGGGCTGCAGGTGCATGGTGGTCTGGCCGCAGTGCGCGATCTGGAACTGCAGGTGTGGGGCGGCCAGGTGCGCGGGAGACGCGTGCGGGTGCGGCGGCGGCGGCGGCGGCGGTGGCTGGTAGGGGAAGAGGCCGGCCAGCGCCAGCTGCTTCGCCTCGTCCTCCTCGCGGGGTTCCTGCTTGATCACCAGCGGCCGCAGCGCGGGCGCCCCGACGCGCTCGTACAGGGGCTCCAGCCTGTTGTCCAGGTAGCCGGCCGCCGCACAGCCGTAACCGGGAGGCGGCCCGTGCGCCCCCGCGGACATGACCGCGCCGCCGGGGCCCGCCGGGGCCCCCGGGTAGTCAAAGTCGCCGGCGCCACCCGCGGGGCCCGCGGCCGCCTTGGCCTTCTCCTGCTGCCGGCTGTGCTGGAAGAGGTCGGCCAGGAACTCGTCGTTGAAGGCGGCCGGGTCGATGTAGGCGCTGATGTCTATAGACGTCTCGTGCTCGCAGATGCCGCCCAGCGGCTCCGGGGCAGCAGGTGGGGCTGGGGGCGGCGCGGGGCCCGCGCCCCGGGGAAAGCCGAAGGCGGCGCTGCTGGGCGCGTGCGGGGGGCTCTGGAGGTGGCTGCTCATCGGGGGCCGCGGCTCCACCTCGTAGAAGTCGGCCGACTCCATGGAGGAGTTAGAGTTCTCCCGGCATGGCGAGCCTCGGCGGCCTCCAGCCTGCGCGTGGCGCCGCTGCTGCCGCCGCCCACCCAGAGCCCCAACTCGCTCGCGCCCGCTTAGCTCCGGGTCGCGAATGGTCAGGCCCGCGCCGGACCCGCTTTTATATCGGGTCGGGCATCGCCCCCTGGTGTCCAAGCGGGTCTTGGACCTAGGGCGAGAGCAGGATGGTGCCTACTGGGTCTTAGAGCCCGCCGCCTCCCTCTCTCTCTTTTTCCTCTCTGTGTCTCCCCAAGGCGGCGAGTGGGGCGGGAGCACAGTGCTCGTGGAGAGAGGCGGTGGCGCAACGCCCACTGCCTCCTGCGCTGCAAGGCAACCCGGCCTGCGCTCAGCCCCACCCTGGCGGCGCTGTCGCCCCCGCACACACGTGGTCCATGGCCGGGCGCCCCTCCTTTAAGCGTCTCTAAGTCACCCACTTCCAGCCAACACCAGGGAGCCCGGGAGCATCCAGAGGCCGAGCAGGGAGGGGTAGGGGTAGGGGGTGGAGAGAGAATGTTAGTCTTGAGCTACCGTGGTGCAGACTGCTCTTAAAAGCTAGGACTAGGCCTATCCCCTGCCCCGCTTTCTAAAAGAGAGCAGTGGCGCGGGAGGTTGGGAACTACTTTGGACCAGCAACCTAGCGCGCACCGCCGAGTGCGAGGTCCAGAGCGCTGAGATTGTCTTTATCTCTGAACTCCAGGCGACCCCACTGATTCCAGGGCACCTCTTCCCCGCCCAGCCTCCCTACCCTGGGGTCCCACGGGATTCTCAGAGCAGGGCGCTAGGACCCAGCAGGGAGCGGAGGCGGCCGCTAACCCGGGAGCCCCGAGGACCTGGCCGGTCCCTCCGCTCCGGCTGGAAAACTTTCTTTTTAATTACGTCTCCAGGCCAGAGCGTTCGGATTGCTAGGCTTACAAGGCGGACTCTGCTGCCCTGTGTGGAGCCTCTGGTCAAGTGTTCGGCGTTTTTTTCCTCCTCGGGACTGGCGGGTGGGTCCTCCGAGACTCACGGAACAGGACACTAGGGCAAGCGCTCGGGGGCGGGGAGAGGGCAGGGTGTTGGAGAGAGAGAGCCGGGTGTGGGAGAGAGAGGAGGTGAACTTGACTCAGGGAGAGTGATCCCCAAGCCGGACCCCTAGTCAGGGGCCTGAAGCCAGTTTTCTTTCCCTACTGTCATTCAGGTGGGCACTAATCTCTGTAGCCAGGGTGTCCAGTTCCTAGCTACGGAGTCTGAGCACCCACTGGGAGCACCCTGTCGGGTCCTCGAGATCCTCGGCACCACGCCGCCTACAGGCTCGCAGCTGTGGGTAGGAGTTGCCTGCCCAGGCTCCCCAGCCACGTGGCGTCCAGCTCATTCTTCACCTGGATCGCGGCCGCCGAGGTCTGGGGCACATAGGGCGGGGTGAGCACCCAAGTCTCTCCTTTTTTGCACCCCGGGGAACCTTTTGCGGCCTCTTGAGCTGAGGCCTGACGTCTTCCCGAGCCCCATTTGTCCGCGTTCCAAGCTGGGGGGGTCCCCCTTCCTGAGACTCCAGGGTGCGCAGGTCTAGACCCCCTGTGCTGCAGTGGCCCTCTTAGCTCAGCAAAGGCGCTGCGATCCGCCCAGGAGGCTCAAGGAGGCGCGGCTAAAAACTCAGTTGGGGAGGCCCGCTGTGCTTCCACTGTGGTTACAGTAAAGAACCCACTTCGTCTGGAGGACGCATCCTGTACTTTAATCAAATTCCCATTCAACATATTCTCGGTGATTAATGACCCAACTGCTTCATTTTCGGGCCAGAGCGCATAAACAAGATATTTTTAGCTTGATGCTTTTGAACTGAGAGAGTAAAAAGCAGCTACACTAAATAAGTAACCTGGTGTGAGCGGAGCATCACTCTCTGGGCCAGATGTGCGACCCATTTATACACCATGCACCTGTGGAGTGTCCTCTGGAGAGAAATACTTAAAAGCCAAGTGGGATCTTCAGCTTTCTACTAAGCTAAAAATAGTATTTGTTTATTTGTTTTCCCTGAGGTGAAAGGGAACGCCGGGAGAAAGTTCCTAGCTAAGAGAGACATGAGCAGGGGGCTGACACCAGGCACATCTATAGTCCTCACTTGTGCAAGCACAGGGACTTGCGGCTGGAGGGTGCTGGAGCACAAGAACACAGTCATCAACAAGGAAGGGTGTGATAAGTGCATGGGATGGGGAATGGGGCTTCTGTAAGTCCTGAATAGCTGAAGGGGCCCTTTACCCTTCTAAATTCCCAGGGGTGAGTGAGGAGTGTCCCGGCACATGACACAGGTAGCGGGACAGACATGCCATATTCATGGTAGGAAAAGGGTCACCATAGAGGAGGGGACGCCGGGCGGTGGTGGCGGCGGCGCTCGCCTTTAAGCCCAGCACTCGGGAGGCAGAGCCAGGCGGATCTCTGTAAGTTCGAGGCCAGCCTGGTCTACAGAGCGAATTCCAGGAAAGGCACAAAGCTACACAGAGAAACCCTGTCTCGAAAAACCAAACAAACAAACAAAAAACATAGAGGAGGGGACACCAGAAGAGCAGGGTCCAAGCCATCACCCATGAAATGGCCCCACGTGTTAGGGATGGAAACTGGAATTAAGGCTGTCCATGATACCATGGAGACACCCAGCCACAGCCAATTCTGGGCTCTGGAGAAGGCCGCTCACTTGGTCTCAGATTTCCAGCCTCCAGAGGAGTGAGGACCAAGTGTGTATCTTTACACAACTCAGTCGGTGGAATCCCACCGAGGCGGACTGAAACTCGAGGCGAGGAGGGCTTTATGCAGGAGTGAACCTTTGAGCTATTTCCTGAAACAGGCAGGAATTGGCTGGAAGGATGAGGAAGGAAGGAAAGCCCTCCCCCCACCCCCGCCCCGTGGAGGAGGGGACAGGTGCAAAGGTGGGGAGGCTGCATGGCCTGTGCTGGTGACAAAGGACAAGGTGTTTGACAGGTTGGAGTGTGGGGCGAGCTAGGGAGGGGCCTAGATAAGGCTGGATCCACAGACAGGGTTGGGTTGATGGCCAAGGCCATCCTAGGTAAGAGAAATTACAGGCTTTTATCCTCTGGTGGATGGTCTGGGAGCTTTGTCCCACTTGGCTTCCTAAGAGGCTACTCTGGCTGAAATGGAGAGGGGGGTTTTAGCTGGGTGAGAGACAATGGAGCCCCCAAAAATGGTGTGGCGCTGCATACCCATAATCTCAACACTCTAGAGGTCAAGGCAGGAGGGTGATAGGTTCATTGACAGTCTAGGCCACACAGAAAGAACTTGTTTCAACCTACTCCTTCTTTCTGCCACGAGAAGGTACAGAGGCCACCTAGGATGGGGAAGGGGACAGGATCTATTTAAAGAAGAAGCCAGGCTTCTGGCTGGAGTTGACATCTTGTGACACATATGTCTTTCTCCAAACCCCTGGAGCGCACTGGCCTGAGTCTGTGCGGGAGTGGTGTGTTTCTAATCCACTCTTTATTAGTTATTGGAGAAGCTACCGGAATCACCCAATAGGTTACATGTCCTATCTCATCAGGAGGCCCTGAGTAAGTGAGGGGCTCCACAGACCCATTAAAATACTTACTTCATCACTTACTAGCTGGACGACCTTAGACAAGTTACGGAATTTCTTGGTAATCTGTTGTAGGGCACGTGGAAGGCTTCAGGAGGATGTGCTGAGCTCGGCTCTGGGTGTGCTGTCGCTGCTGAGAAGTAAGACCCTCATGAAGTGTTCTTTGTCTTGTCGGCTTCTAGGAGCATATACACTGTTGAGGTCTGTTTCTCCGGAAATTGTCACATTGAGGAGCTCACTTTGGATGATGTGGATGCCTGATGAGGTACTATGCCAGGTTTCTCAGCCCAATCTTAGGCAAAGCCATGTGAAATTAATCTCTACCAAACATCCCAGAAGTGATCTGCCTGTTAGGAAATGTAACTGTGGATGCCATGGATGATCGTAACCATGAGTATGTGTTATATATATAAAAAAAAAATCCTGAGTTCATGAGAATCAGCTGTTTCCAGTTTTCTCTTCCTATTCACCGACTATAACACGTGTGTGATTTCTTTTGTTGTTTGCATTGTGTTTCCCATTTGCCTGAAGCTGTTAGCAGATAAGCAAAAGCAGGCACTAGAGAGTCTAGAAGAAAATCAAACTGCAGAGGATTTTTAAAAATTCATTCTTAGTTTTGTTTAGCAAATTGAGAAGAGTTCTTCATACTATTTTGATGTAAATCTCCGGGATGAACCCCAGAACTCCCACCCAGCGAGGAAACGCCGCTTAAAGGAAATGCTGGACACAGGGACCTCTCCTCCGTAGTCTGTGGGACCAAGAACAGTGGTACAAATCGCAGCCCCATTTCATGTTTTATTAAATACCAAATTACCACTCAGCCAGGGCTTGGTGACACATGGCTGTAATCTAAGCACTTGGGAGGCAGAGGCAGGGGAATCACAGGTTCTGGACTCTCACTGAGAGTTCAAGACCAGCTGAAGCTACACAGTGCGTTTAAGGCCAGCGGTTCCATAATGAGACTCTGCCTTAGGAAAAAAAAACAAAAAGCCAGGTGGTGGTGGCACAAGCTTTTGATCCCAGCACTTGGGAGGCAGAGGCAGGTGAATCTCCGTGAGTTCAAGGCCAGCCTGGTCTAAGAGCAAATTCCAGGACAGGCTCCAAAAGCTACACAGAGGAACCCTGTGAGAACAAAAAACAAAGAAAAGAAAGAAACCAAACCCAAACACCATTCTCCAAAAATTATCAAAACCAAAACCAAGAAACCATTAGGTAAAATATATTCTAGATTTCCCATCATAAATAACATTACTTCATGGCTTGGGGATATAGTGTAAGTGGTAATGCTCACCCAGAATCCGGCAGTGAGGGGTTGGGGTGTGGCTCAGTGGTAGAGCACCTGCCTAGAATCTACTGGTGAGGGGCTGGGGTGTGGCCCTGTGGTAAACACTTGCCTAGAATCCAGTAGTGAGGAATTGGAAGTGTGGCTCAGTGGTACAGCACCTGCTTGACTTCATTAGTAGGAGGCTGAGAGCATGGCTCTGCCGTAGAGAGCCTTGTGCAGTATTTCCATCCCCAGTACAGCAAAATAAACAAAAAGCAATTTTAGAATGTGCTAGAGCGCCAGACTTTGGTTTTGAATTTAGCTTTAGGAGAGTAGTGGTGAGGGTGGCGGGCGGGGTGGGGCAGAGGCAGGTAGATTTTCGCCCGTTTGATCCAGCCGGGTCCATCTACAAAGAAAGTTTGAAGCCAGTCACAACCACACAGTGAGACCCTGCCTCTAAACAAACTAACAAACAAATAAATTGTGATGCTTCCAAAAAAAAAAAAAAAAACCATGTCCCTTCTCTTCCCTGTCCTAGAGCCTTCCAGGTGGGTCTTTAGGTCCTCGGGCAGGCCAGTGCATCTGTAGCACAGAGTTGAAATGCCACCACTGCCCTGCTGATCATTAGGCATGGGTCTATACATAAGGGCTAGCACCTGGTAAAGAGGCCCATGGGAGTCTAGTAAACTCCCAAGTCCAAGAAGAAGACAAGGGGATCCCCACAGGAGGGCATGAGGGGCCAGCTACTGCGGCAACCCTTGTGCTTGAGGCTGCGTGTGGGGCCAGACATAGAGCAGGTAGAGTCCCATGTCCTGGGCTGGCCAGCAGCTCCTCAGTACAAGCAGAAGAGCAGTGGCTGCATCTACGTGGCTGTTCCTGCTCCTGTTGGAGGACAGCGGTGGACAGGAAGCCCACATCTGCAGGGCCTGGTAGTGCGGGCCTAGAATTCCAGCAACTTAGGAAGACTAAATTCAAGGTCAGCCCCGGTAACTTAGTAAGACCCTGTCCCAAAATGAAAAGTTAAAAGAGAGCTGAGTGGTAGAGCACATGCCTAGCACATGGGAAGCTAGGCAATCCCTAGCAACATACACCGTCCTAAATATGCACCCCCTAATTCATCCCTCCTTCCCATATTACCTGCTTGCAGCCCACCATATTGTCACCCAGCTCCCACACAGCCACTAACACTTTCCTCCTGGCCTGCTTGTCTCCACCTCTCTTCAGCAAGAGACACCCCTTCCCCTCCCCCCCCGCCACCCCCACCCCGCCTGGCAAATATCTTCAAAACAACACACTTGGGTCAGGCTCTCCAGTTAAGTAAACCCTCTTTAACACCTTGGATATGAGGGAGGGAAGAAGGTTCTGGAATAGCATAGCATGAATCTACCCTTGCCTCCCCTCACACAAGCTTGCTTTTCTTGTTCCCTGGAGTGTTCTTCCTACGCTGGCACAGCCCCTTTCTTCTGGTCAGTTGAGGGCCACCTTCTCAGAAAGGTGTGAGCCATGCCCTCCCCCACGCTGCTTAGGGCACCATAGCATTTTATTTTCCTCATAGCTCACGCAGAACGGTCTTGTTGACTTATTTTACTTGTTCCTTATCTGGCCTCCCCCACTAGAATGCCAGCTTCACAAAGGCAGGGAGGGACCTTGTCTGTCCTGTTCTGCATATTTCCCCTGGCTAGAACAGGCCTTGGCTTAGAAGAGAGCCTCAAATATTTGTTAAATGAACACAGAATGGTCTGTGTGGAGGAAAGCAGCTACCCAGACATCCTTCTAGAACTCAGTTTGTCCCTAAGCCTAGGAGGGCTGCTGAAGGGTAGTCCTGAAGACCCCCAAGAAGACTTGACCCCCTGGGCCAACCCCTGTCCCCAAAGCAGACCCAATTCAGAGCCCCTTGAAGCAGTTCCCAAAAGACTGGACCACATGCAATGGTGCCCACCGCCGACTGGAAAGAGGCCCCCTCAGACAGATGTGATCCCCAGGGGCTTGGCTGAGCAAAAAGTGCCTTGGAGGGAGGAAAAAGGGCCTCTTTCTCTGAGGAAAATCCAGGCAGGGCAAGAGTCTTTGCCAGCGAAGGTCCCCAGAGCTGAGTCCTGACGCTGCCCTGGCTCTGTTATGTGTTGGGTCAGTAGGGCACAGAGGAGGGCCCCGGCTGAGCTAGACATAGAACCTGGACATGGCTGGGCATTCGCTCCCTGGGGGCACACGTCTGCCTCCCTGCAGGTTCATGTGGGAGTCAGGGTCTGCTCCAGCATGCAGACTGGATGGGCCAGCCTCCGGAGCATGCTCTCACTCCTCTGAACTCACTGTCCTGACCTATCCTGTCTCCTGCTGATTCCAAGGCTTCATGCCCTCAAGGTACATTTAAAAAAAAAACAAAAAACTGAACAATGTAAGAAAGCGAACTTCGTGGAAAATCAAGAGATAAAAGGTGACTGGCCCCAATGCAAGCCCTTTGACTTTATGATTAGATTCTACTCTTTTAATCTAAGACCCCAACACTGAGTGACATGTCCTCCGAGTGCGGCACCAAGGCTGTGGGGGAAGTGAGAAGCACACAGTGGGCTACGTAATTTCAGGCACGTTGGTTGAGACTCTCCGTTTTCCCCTAAAGAAAGCTATCGTCCGTCTTCTAGGGTCTGTGACAATGCATGGTCAGTCTACAGATGTCAAAGGCAGACTTCAAGAGTCACCATGCCTGGAATGGTCCTTACAGTTGAACGTCCAGTAGACTAGACAAAGCAAGTTGCGGGATGGCATGCTACTTCCACTCAGGTAGGAAAACAGTCATCAATGCCTATTTGTAATCCAGGCCTAGTGGCTCCTGGAGAGGTTAAGAGGCATGGGGATTACAGATCTAAGACCTGCCGGGTGGTGGTGGTGGTGGTGGTGGCGGCGGCGGCGCACGCCTTTAATTCCAGCACTCGGGAGGCAGAGCCAGGCGGATCTCTGTGAGTTCGAGGCCAGCCTGAGCTACAGAGCGAGATCCAGGACAGGCACCAAAAAACTACACAGAGAAACCCTGTCTCGAAAAAGAGGGGTGGGGGGGTGGAGAAAAACAAATCTAAGGCCTTCTAGCACAACCGAGTGAAATCCTGTCTCAAAAGAAAAGGTAAAAAGAAGGCTGAATGCAGCACAGTTGCAGATCAGGGGCGTGGCTCGATGGGAGAGCCCCTGCCTAGAATCCCCCAGTGAGGGGCTGGGGGTGTGGCTCAGTGGTAGAGCACCTGCCTAGAATCCCCAATGAGGGGCTGGGGTGTGGCTCAGTGGTGGAGTCCCTGCCTAGAGTCCCCCAATGAGGTGTGGTTCAGTGGGAGAATACTTGCCTAGAATCCACCAGTGAAGGGTTGGTGCTTGGCTCAATGGTAAAGCATTTGTCTATCGTGTATGCATAAGGCCCAAATTCAATCCCTGTGTACTGGCGGGGTGGGGGGAAGACAAGCCAGGTGTGGTGGCGCACACCTTTAAACTTGGCACTTAGGGAGCAAAGGCAGGTGGATCTCTATGAGCTCAAGGCCAGCCTGGTCTACATAGTGAGTTCTAGGACAGCCAGGGCCCTATCTCCACAAACAAAGAAGTAGGAAAACAACCCACTAAATTTATATTTATATGCGTATAGGAAGAAGTAGGACCACACACCTCTTAGGGTTTCCAACTATGTAGGAAAGAGCATAGCTTGAAGTCTGTAATTTAAGTACTCAGACCTACTGGACTTTTTGGACAGTTAAGTATGTATTTATTATGTTTGTGGTTTTATAAACTATAAAAATATCTTAAGACACCTTACTTTACTAGTTTTTTATTTTTATAGTTTTATATACTATAAAATATATTAAGTTGCCTTAATTTACTCCACAAATGTAAAACGCCACACTGAAGACTGCCTGGTTTGGCCAGGTATTCAGGATGCTTCCCAGTGACCACATCTTCCAAATGGACTAGTTCAAACCATGCTTTGAGAGTGCTTCTTTTTTTTCCCCCTCTGCTTTGTGAGTTTTCTCAGATGAGGCATTGGATACAGTTATGGATACCGACTCATGTTAATCTCTGCTGTTGACATGGCATCCTTATCCTAAAGATCAAAAGTTTATTGATTTATGTATAAAACCTTCCAAATCAGAATGCATGGCAATCAAATAGAAAGAAAATGAGAATACACAGACTTTATTTTAAAAACGGCTAATGCTGGTGACACAGACCTGCTGTTGCAGCATTTGGGAAGCTGACGCAGGAGAATGGTGAGTCTGGCCTTCGGTGACTTCCAGGACAGCCTGGGCTACGCAGTGAGACCTGATCTCAAATATCAAAACAAACAAGACAAAGATACAGAAAATGCAAATGAATTCTAAACATGTTTAAAAGTCTGGGGCTGGGGAGATAGTTCAGAGGTCACAAGAGTGCCTGCTGTACAAGCATGATGACCGGAGTTCAAATCCCCAGAATGCCTGGAAAAAGATGGGCATGGCCGCACCCACCGTAACCCCAGGCTGTGGTTTAGGAGGGGGAATAGGAGGATTTCTGGGGCTCACCGGCTGCCAGCCTAGCTCCTGGTTCAGTGAGAGACCCTGTCTAAGGGAATAAGGAAAGCAGAGAGGGATGGAGCAGGACTCCTCCTCTGGCCCCCAGGTGCACACAAAGGTGCATGCACTGCACACACAGGTGCATGCACTGCACACACAGGTGCATATACCGTACACATAAATACAAAAATCATTAAAATGCTAATGATGTGAATGAGAGATACACTGAAACCACACCATCTTAACCTGCAGTACTAACAGCCGGGTTGAACAAGCTGGGGAACAATTTGTCAACGACTACCCCATTTCAGAGTATCATTTTTCTTTTACCTAGCAACTCCAGTCCTAGAAACTTAAGCCCATAAGATTCCAGGTGTACTCAGAGAGGCACAGATATGGATATTGACCACAGTGTTACTATGGTTATTCAAGCAGGGTTTCTCTCTTTAGCCCAGCTGGCCTCAAACTCCTGCCTCAGCCTCCTCATGTCCAGCACTGCTGTTAATAATTGCAAAAAAAAAAAAAAAAACTAGAAACAAAGACTGGCTGAACAGCCCTGAATAGCAGGTTAATAAAAATCTATGCCTCTATTAAAAAGCTAGAGGAAGACCAGTGAGGTGGCTCAGAGGGTAAAGGCTTTGGTTTTGCAAGCCCGAGTTCAACCCCAGCAGCCCATGTAGAGGTGGAAGGAGAGAAGTGACCTCACAAAGGTGTCCTCTGACCCCCACACACCTGCCATCACACACACACACACACACACACACACGCACACACACACACACCTTTAAAAAAGCTAGAGGAATATGGAAAGATTTCTGATCTGTTTATCATTCATATTTATTACACCTATACATGCACGGGTGGATTGGATGGATTAGGAAACATGTTCTAATAACAGACTGTTTATTGAATGTGAGCTTTCTCTTATTAAAGTCCTACACAGTTATCAACACTAAACCACATTCAATTTGACGGATATAATGAGTCATTTTTATTTGGGGGGGAGGGAAAGGAGCTCTTTGTTTATATATTGTGTATATATATTAACTTCTAGCAGGGCATGGTGGCACACACTTGTGTGATATGACAAAACTGTTCCTGGAGAGATTCAGCTCATGTTTACTCACCCCTGTTAGGGAACCCATGACAGACCAAAGTATGGATACCACTGAAGTCCAATTTTGAGAATCAATGAGTTTTACTGGGTTACTTAGAAGAATATCAGTGAGGGGTTACTTACAGGAGCAGAAATGACTCAACAGACAGTGGCATCACCAAAGCCCACCATGGCATGGGTGACAGTTCCCTAAGCAGGAAGCTTGAGCACACTGCCCAGCCTTCTGGCAGCTAACTAGGTTGGAGAGTGTCCTTTCCGGGTACCTCAGTTGGTCTAAACCTCCTCCAGGCAGCTCAGCTGGGTTCTGCCTCTTCCAGGAAGCTGGTCTGGTCTCAGGCTTCTTGCAGCTTTTCTCCGCTGAGAGTTTGAAGTTCAGTTTGTCTGAGGGTATTTTGTGCAGCTCAGCTTCACTTCCTCTAAGAGGGACTCTCAGTCTGTTGCTAACTCTGGCAGGGCCCGGCCTAGAGAATCTGGTCTGTTTCAGGGGCTTCCTGAAGCTAATTTGAGTTGTTTACCTTCCTGCTGAAGGAGCTTTTCTGCAGGGTGGGATGTTTCAATCTCAGAAGACACTGTAACACAACAATTTAATTCCTGTGCTTCTGAGGCAGCTGAGGGAGGAGAGGGATTGTAAATTCGAATCCAGGCTGGGCTACATAGCAAATTCCGGGTTATTTTGGACTACAAAGAGAAACCTTGTCACAAACAAATGAACCTTCACAGATCACAACAAAAGAATTACAATATAAAAGGAAATAAAATACATAGCTATACAGTGTATGTGTGTGTGTGTGTGTGTGCCCGTGCGTGTGTGTGTGTGTGTGTGTGTGTGTGTGTGTGTGTGTGTGTGTGCGCGCGCGCACACACACACACACAAGAGGCACTACTTGTACTATATAGTCTATGTATGCAAAGGGGAAGGAAGGTCGGCTCATGTGCACATTTATGTCTGGGACCTTTCACCTACAAGGGGCTTGCAAGTGGGTAAACATTTTTTCACTGTACGTTAAGATATATGGAAGACTTAAACAATACATACACAATAATTAACTGTCCGCTCCCCCCCCATTCCAATATCTATATCTACTCAAAACACAAGTCCTAAAATCATGAGAAGGATTTGGCTTTATTTTCCCAGAGCTGAAGAGCCAAATGGACAAAACATAAATGGGCCTACACAGGACTTTCATCTTCCTCAGCAGCCCCAAGAAAATCCATAAAGCTGTCGGTTTTAGTAAAGTCCTTTTACTGAACACAAACCTGCCTCTCCAACGGGGAGCTGCGTTTTCCCATCCATACTGATTAGCAGCTTAGGGAGCGTGGGCAGGGCACACTGGCCCAGCCCAGGTCTCCGCTTGGTCACCATTCTACCACTTTCAGTCAAAAACCCAAAGGTCGATTGGAAAGCGCACTACCCACTCTTGTGACACTCCCTGTTGGCCAGATAACTTCCAAGGCCTAAACCCCTGTGCACCATCTCAGGAACCAAGAAAATACGGTTAGCCCTCCCAATCTGCTTCAACAGGTAGAGGTGACTGACATGGGAAAACTTGAGTTTCAACAAGCATATCTTTATAATCCAGTTAAAAATATATTCCATTAGATAATCTGTCTTAAGCCAGGAGCACACCTGGCTTAATCCCAGCACTCGGGAGGCAGAGCCAGGCGGATCTCTGTGAGTTCAAGGCCAGCCGGTCTACAGAGTGAGAGCCAGGACAGGCACCAAAACGACATGGAGAAACCCTGTCTCCCCCAATGCCTTCCCCCAAAAGAAAGAAAGAACGAAAGAAAATCTGTCTTACATTTATTCCAAATGCAATCTTTTTCTAAAAATAGTTTTTAATCTCACTCAAGGTGCAGCAACAGTAAACGAAAACCAGAATGAGTCAGACACCCCATAAAACAGTGTGCTTCCACAGCTCTGCTTCCCAGAGTAGGGAAAACGTGCAGGTGATCCTCTTAGGACAAGGTTGCTCTGGGCTTCTTGTTTTTCTGGGAGAAATTACTAGACGGCAAACAGGTCGCATGGAACCTGCCTAGTGGCTTAGTGACAGGGACCTTGCCCCAACCGGATGCTGACTGGATTCTGGGGCTGACTGGCAACACTACATTCCCTGTCCTTATTGTCTGGGAATGTTCTC